CCGCTGACCTCCAGGAGTGAACTGGTCAACCGATGCGTCCTAAAGGTCAGCTCCACTCACCAAGTTCGTGGAGAACGAGGGGAGGTGGAGGCCAGACAGAGAGCCAGACGGGACCGCCGGACACAGCAGAACCGTGGAGGAGTGTGCAAGGACCGGACCCCCAGAGGGGTCTGCCAGAGAGACTGCCACTGGCCGACTGAGCGGCGAGAGTGTGGTGCAGTCGCGAAAGAAGGAGCGGGAAGCACCCGAGTCAAGGGTGAAAGTGTGCAAGGCCGCAGCAGGCGCAGTACTAGAGAGAGAAGACACACCAGCACCTGGAGCAGTGGACTCACTAGCGCCTAGAGCAGCAGCCTCACCAGCACCTGGAGTAGGAGACACGCCAGCACCTAGAGCAGCAGCCTCACCAGCACCTAGAGCAGCAGACTCTATACCTGGGTCAGGCGGCACACACAGGTAACAGTCAACCTCAGCACTAGTAGGCAATGCATACATGGCAGTGAGGATAGCATCATAGTCAAGAGCAAAGATATCTTCCCTCCGCCTAAGCAGATTCAGCCAGGAGGGGAGCTCAGCGTCGTCGCCAAACTCTATACGCCAGGCGTCGCTCAGAGAGGAGAAGCAGCGGGACTCTGTGTGACCAACCGTCCCGCAAGGCTAACCAGCCCGAGCACCAGTGCGAATGACGTACGGGCAGCGCACAGTACTCCGTGACCCTCTACTCTGAGCGTACCACTTACGAAGCTGCTGGGGCGAAAGAGTCGCGCGCGGACGCTGCTGCAGCTGCACTTGGTCACTACAAGAAGCTCCCGAACGACCAGCGCCAGGGCGACTCCCACCACGGCCACCCCTACAACCCCAACTAGCGTACCACTCACGAAGCTGCTGGGGCGAAAGGATCTCGTGCGGACGCCGTTGCAGCTGCACCTGGCCACTACAAGGAGCTCCCGAACGACCCGCTCCAGGGCGACTCCCACCACGGCCACCCCGACAACCCCAACTAGTGTACCACTCACGAAGCTGTTGGGGCGTGAGGGACTCACGCGGACGTCGCTGGAGCTGCATCTGGCCACCGCTAGTTGCAGCTGTAGCAGTAGTAGCAGTAGTAGCAGCAGTAATAGCAAGAACAGCAGCAGCAGCAGCAGCAGCAGCAGCAGTAGCAGCGCGGGCAGGGCTGTGCCGCTCAGTAGAGCAGGGCTGCACAGCTCGGCAGCACGACGCGGCTCAGCGGGGCGGCTCGGCGCGGCTGAGCAGCGCGGCTCAGCTGGGCGGCGCGGCTCGGCTAGCAGGCAGGCGCGGCAGGAGGCAGGCAGGCCGGCGCGGCAGTGCGCTAGTATGGCAGGCACGCGGGAAGCGCGGGTAGGGCAGGTGCTCACCAGTGGCGGGAAGGGCCGACGGCGGTGTCGGCAGGGCCGCGACAGCTGCAGGGCGGGGCCGTGACGGCGGCAGGGGGGCTCCGCAGCAGCTGCTGCAGGGCGGGGCCGCGACTGCTGCGGGGGGCTCCCGGCGGCTGCTGCAGGGCGGGGCCGCGACAGCGGCAGGTGGCTCCGCGGCAGCTGCTGCAGGGCGGGGCCGCGACTGCTGCAGGGGGGGGGGCTCTGCGACACGCACGGACGGCGCCCAGGGGGCGCCGCGACGAGCAGAGACGGCGCCCAGTGGGCGCCGCGACGAGTAAGGGCGACGCCCCGGGGGCGCCGCGACGAGCAGAGTCGGCGCCCAGGGGGCGCCGCGACACGCAGGGGCGACGCTCAGGGGGCGACGCCCCGGAGGCGCCGCGACGAGTAGGGGCGGCGTCCAGGGGGCGCCGCGACGAGCAGGGGGGGGACGCCGCGCGGGTCCCGCAGGGGCGTCGCGACAAGCAGGAGCGACGCGCTGTTCGGCAGGGCGGCGCGCGGGTCGCAGGGGCAGCGCTCACGGGCTGCAGGGGCTACGCGCGCGGCTCGGGAGGGCGGCGTGCGGGCTGCAGAGGCAGCTCCCACGGGCTGCAAGGGCGACACGCGGCCCGACAGGGCGGCACGCGGGCTGCAGAGGCAGCGCCCACGGGCTGCAGGGGCAGGCACGGCTGCAGGGGCAGCGCCCACGGGCTGCAGGGGCAGGCACGGCTGCAGAGGCAGCACCCACGGGCTGCGGGGGCAGGCACGGCTGCAGAGGCAGCGCCCACGGGCTGCAGGGGCAGGCACGGCTGCAGGGGCAGCGCCCACGGGCTGCAGGGGCAGGCAGGGCTGCAGAGGCAGCGCCCACGAGCTGCAGGGGCAGGCACGCTTGCAGGGGCAGCACCCACGGGCTGCAGGGGCAGGCACGACTGCAGAGGCAGCGCCCACGGGCTGCAGGGGCAGGCACGGCTGCAGGGGTACCACGGTCGCAGGGGCAGCACGCGGGCTGCAAGGGCAGCTAAAAAATAAAATTTCCAGTTAGGACAGGGCGGAACGTTCGGTGGGCCCTAGGAACGATTCTGCTCTAATACCATGTGAGAATAAGAACGAGAGAATGACTAGAAACAGGGCAGTACAAGGTTTGTATAGGCAAAACCTAACAATACTGTACCCCATAAGGAGTGTCCCACTACAGCCTACAATATGGTTCTGACAGAAGTGTACTTGGGGAAACGTAGGGTGACCTCCATAGTTGGCTCGGGAGCTTCTCAAACCGCCTTATTGCGCGTGATAGTTAGGAATCTTGGGCTACCCAACCTCCAAGATACCGCCATATATTTCACCACATCTAGTGGAGAGACTTTGAAGCCGTGGGGACTCTTGCCGCATGTGCCGGTTAGGGTGGGAAAGATGACTCTAACGGTGGATATAGCAATGACGGGAGCAAGCACCAACGTCATGCTCCTAGGGCAGGATTGGATGTGCTCGGCCAACGCGGATATCCTAACCAGTAAGGGGAAGATCGTGTATTCGGTCAACACCAAGGAAACCGACTCCGTGCCCATCACCACAGGGCCATTGGGAGTTGGTGGCCACCCCTCTTTTATGCTCCTCCCCTCCCACACATCCTACAAAATGCTTGATGAGGAGGACGAGGAGCACATCAAGGCGGGGAGTGAGAAGTCATAGCGGAGGAAGAAGGGAGGATGGAGCTGAACAAGGAGGAGGATGAATATTACCTATGATTAAGAGAGCAGGAGGAGGAGAAAGAGGAGGCTCGAGTGCGGAGGGATCTGAGGAGGAAGGAGTGGAGAAAGGGGAGCTTGAGGTGGTAAGAGGAGGGGCATAAGAGGTAAGGGGACACGACTTTGGGAGTTTAACGGCAGATGAGACTGGAGCGTGGGATCGAGGAGAAGGCTTTCATTGGGAGAAGGCTCACGATGAGATGGTGGAGAACTACGTAAGAGAGAGGACGAGATCGAGCGGGAATTTGACTCCATGGCGGATGGAGAAGAGTATTTGGATTGTGAATGGGAGGAAGGGGAGCTGATCTATCATAAGAGGAAGAAGAGGGTAAGTGCAGACCACTTCGAGTTATACAACTACTCGGCAGCAGAGAAGTGGAACTACGTTGTAGCCGAGAGTGGAGACGAGGTGGAGGATCATCATAAGAAGCTATTAATCCTTCACGAAGGAGGCACCTAGGGTAGCTTGCTCCGAGTTTGAACACCTACCCATTTAATTTGAACCACGAGTTAAAAGAGCAGTAGCAAAAGGAGGTACAGCCGCTCTTGGTGGAGTATAAGGAGGTCTTTTCCATGAAGAAGAAGATGCTAGGGACCCACCTCACCATCTGCCACCACATCACCACTAGGAGTGCCAAGCCCATAGCCCATAAGCCATACCATCTAACACCATTCGAGCACGCTAGAATCGAGGAGGAGGTCCAAACCTAGCTCGAGCAAGGGGTCATTCGCTCTTCGGACAGTCCTTGGTCCTCCCCGTGCATAGTAACCCTTAAGAAGGACTTCCAGGATAGGGTAGTAGTCGATTATCGCTCGCTCAACCCCGTGGCCAAAGCAGCCGATCAATTTCCCATGCCATGGATAGACGACAGACTCGCTCCATTTCTCGGTGCTAGATGTTAAATCCGCCTACCACACCATCCTTGTGGCGGAGGAAGATATCCCTTATACGGCGTTCGCCACCTCCTCGGAGCAGTACGAATACGTAAGGATGTCATTTAGGCTTAGAAACGCACTTGCCACCTTTCAATGGCTCATGACCACCACATTTTGCACCCACGCCAATACAACTCCCTTCCTTGATGACATAATTATCTTCTCAAACAGTTGAGGAGGATCATCTTAAGTACCTACGGGATGCATTCGAAAAGATCAAGGAGAATCACCTTCAGCTGAAGTTGAACAAATGTGAGCTGGATTTTTATTCCACCATCTACCTAGGGCACTTGGTGAAAAGGGAGGGAGTGAAGAAGGATGGAGGGAAGGTTGAGGCGATTAGCAACATGGGGCGCACGAGTTACAATCGGAGGTTCATCAAGGGGTATGCCAATTTGGCACACCCTCTCACGCAACTGCTCCATAAGGACCACCCCTTCGAGTGGACTCTCGAGAGCAAGCACGCCTTCAACGCTTTCAAGCTCGCCCCCATCCCCCCCCCCTATGCTTGCATCTCCAGATTTTTCGAAACCCTTCGTACTCCGAACAGATTTTCCATGCAAAGCATTGGGGGCCATCTTGGCTCGAAAACACGAGAAGGGAGCAGAATGGGTGGTGGGTTATGCTAGCCGGACAACAAAGGGAGCGGAGTGGAGCTTGTCAACTCATGGGGAGTGTTTGGCGGTGGTTGCTGCGATTATACACTACATGCCCGATCTCTACGGGAGCAGATCATTGTTGGAGACGGATTGTCAAGCACTTCAATGGCTCATGATGGCACAAGAACTCACGTGAAATTTGACAAGGTGGAGCTTGTTGCTGTAGGAGTACAACTCCACCATCACCTACCAGGCTTGAGAGAGTCATAGGAACGTAGATGCGTTGAGCCGCATGCAACAGTGGTTGCATCTACGTTCGGGGGCGGGGGGGGAAGCACCATCACATAACCATGCACGCATTCCGTCATTCATCCACCCCCTCCTCTACAACAGCTGCCCCAAAGGAACAGGGTGAAGAAGAAGAGGGGGAGAGTAGCAAGTCGATGACCATGGGAGAAAAATGCGATAAGGAGAAGGAGAAGAATAGCACGGAGGAGGACAAGGAGGGAAATGATGATGGCAAGGAGGATGAGAAGGAGGAAGAGGTGTATAGTACAGACAAGGAGGAAGAGGGAGACAAAGGAAAAAAAGAAGAGGTATAGGAGGAGAGTAGTGAAGATGAAGAGGGAGAAGTAGTCGGAGAAGAGGAGGAAGGTGGGGAATTTGAGAAGGTTCAACGGCCGGATGAGTTGGAGGAAGAAGAGCAGCTGCTAGAGGAGATAGAACAACATAAGAAAGAGGGAGAGGAAGAAGAGGACGGGACCCCGAGCAAGAGTCCCGCGTGGGACGACGCCAACACCTTGTCTTCTTGGAGGTTGTGGGAGCGGTTGATCTTACATGGAGAATGGTGGAGAAGAGGAGAGTGAGAGCAAGAGGTAAGTACTAAGGAGGATCAGAACGAAATTAAAGTTGATGTCTAAGGAGGAGGAAATGAGGGAGTTATAGCATTTCTTCATGGGTTGGGGCACTTGGGTGTACTAAGGAGGATCTGGTCAAGCAGCAGGGTAATTGGTACGGAGTGAGGAATGATGTGGTGGCATTTATGAAGGGGTGTGCAACGTGTGTCTTTCATAAAGGGTCATGGATGGCGAAGGTAGAATTGCAGCCGGTACCGATCTCTAAGCTATAGGAGAGGGAGGTGATGGATTTCATTGGGCCACTACATGAAACGCCGAAGGGAGGGAACAAGTACGTCAGCTCGGCCATGGACCACTTCACCAAGTGGGCGGAGTGTAAGCCGATGAGGAGTACGGATGCGGCAACAACAGTGGCATTTGTAACAGGGAATATTATCTCCAACCATGGCTGTCCGTTGGTGATTCATACGACAACAACACACACTTCAAGGAGATTTTGGGGTGCAACCAAAGAAGTTTGGGGTGCTCTCAACCGAAGCATCCTCAAAGTTTATGTTCTTGCTTTGGAGATGGAGATGTTGGAGAAGGGAGATTTTGTTTGGATCAGACCGATCAAGAGGGTGGAGTGGGAGAAGCAGGCTCTGAGGTTTGAGATGATGTTCAAGGTGAATGAGGTGGAGCCGTTCCATGTGTTGGTAGAGGATAAGGCAGGAACTATGTGGAGGGAGTCTCAAGAGAACGTGAAGTCCGTGAAGGTAGCACCTTAGATCCACACCCCCACTCTCCCCGCGAAGTATAGACCACCTATACAACCCCCCCACTCCCCCCGCGAAGTAGACCGTCTATACAATCCCCACTCTCCCCGCGAAGTAAAGGACCGCCTATACAACTCCACTCTCCCCGTGAAGTATATGAACGCCTATACAACCATACGCTCTTGCTCATTTTCACGCGCTGAGTAGGCTACTAACGATCAAGCGAACTCGGCGACTAGGCAACCACAGCGGTCAAGCGACCTTAGGCTACCTTAGAAGACATGTGGAGAAGAGCAGTTCAAGGTAGTGTTCTTGAGGGTGTTGGTGGAGGGGAGTGCGGGAGCATCTTGGATGCGGTTGATAGATAAGGACGACCCAGGGTTGGAAGGTAGGAGCTTGGAGGTGAAGAAAGGAGGAGTGAAACTGGCGGTGCGGTAGGATGGGCAATTCCTCTTCCGTACCCCTTTCTTTCTCCTGCTTCTTTCCAGGTTCTCAGTCTCCCTTTCTTTCTCCTGCTCCTTCCTGTTCTACTGCCCCCATCTCCTCGCTCACGGCCATGAAGGCCCATCCTTCCAAGATCCTACCTTCCTCCTACTCCTTGATGGCGTGCAGCTGCCTTCTCCTCCTCCCCGCCTCGTCTTGCTCTTGACGCCTCTCACTGATCTCAATATCTCTCTGTATCTCCTTCCGCTTCAAGTGCTTTCGAATAGTCTCTATCAGCCAGCTTATGACTTTCAAGTCCATGGCTCGGCCCACCGCCGCTCTCCTTTGCTTCTCGGTGACCTGAGATGAGCCGTCGCACCCCATCAGTGCCCCATTGCCAGTTCACGTTCTTCTGCTATGAGTTCCTCCCACCTCCTGCTCCTCACGTCATATACCATCCCGGGCCCTTACACCTCCCCTTCCATGACAAAACCCCTAGCTTCTTCATAAGCTACTAGCGTGGGAAAGGCTTGCCTGGGCTTCCCTGGCACGTTGCCCTGGTGCTACGAGGGGTGGTCCGGGCTTGGAGCTGGCCCCAGGATGTCGCTGACCAGCCTAGGCTCGGGCCGTTGCATTTGTGCCAGGGCGTGCCTGAGGCTAGCTTTGAAGATGCCGTTCTGCCAATATCTGCGCGGCCGGTGGGCTCTGGACCCCAGATGTGCGGCATCCACCACATGTAGGGCAGCTCCCAATCTCCTTTGTTGCCCCCTTCACTTCCAACCCCGTCAAGCTCCCATCCTTCACCAACATCTGCAGCATAGGAATGTTGATATGACACAACCTTTCGTGCCACGTCTCCCAGTCTGCCTCATCACTCTCAGATGAAGCATTTGCCTATGCACATGTCCCATCCACACCAGCAAGAACATCACCATGTGGCTGCTGCAGTTACTGCACCTTCTTGACTGCATCCAGGGCCCCATCAGTTGGTGCAGTCACATGTTTTCCCGCAGTTGTTTTAGCCGATGCCTCTACCATTGCCGTTGCTGGTGGTTTGCCATTCTAAGGGATGATAGGTAGCTGCCATTGGTCCTTGATGCAGCTGCTCTTCTCCTCCAGATTCCACAGCAGCAACTTCCCAAGCTTTGCACGGCAGCTGGTTGGGCCGAAGGTCACTTCAGCCTTGCTCTTCTGCACTCGGCGCACAGAAAGAAGGTCAACATACAAACCTTCAACCAACAGTACATTCCCAAGCCCCACAAGCTCCCTATTGGCTCCCATCTCCTTGGCATTCCCAACACCAATCACATAGAGCAAAGCACGTGAAGTAGCAGCCACAATCTTGATCTTCCCAAAGGGCTTTACCTCATCAAGCAAATCCGCTTGTGGAGTCACGTGACTTGTGCAACATGAATCTATCACCTATTGAGTGAGGGGGTGCAACACAACTTTCCCAACTGATCCCACATCAACCCCACTCCTTTGCACATCCCCAACCATGAGGAACATCCCAGAGGAGGCTTTACCTTGTGCACCATAACCTTGTGCACCTGAGCCTTGCACAGCACCACCTTGTGCGCGTTCACCACTCGGCGGCTTCGTGCCTGGGGGCGCCCATCCCTCAGGCTGGCTGAAACACTCGAACCATGGATGTCCAGCCTTCTTGCAGTACCAACAGGCTCCTTCCATTTTGGTGCTCCCTCTGCCAAAGCCTCTCCCATGGCCTCGACCTCTTCCACCCCCTCTTCCTCTGTTGCCTCTTGCAGTTGCATACCCCTCAGCAGTCTTGTTGGTAGCACCACCTCCCGTGTGGCGCCTACGGAAGTCCTCCTGGGGAATCTGCTGCCGTAGCGAATCGGGTGTCCACTGGTCCTGCTGAAAGTTGAGGGTAGGTATCTGATTGTCCCATAAGTTGTCCAGCACCGAGATGATCTTGATGCACTGCTGCATCTGTGACACCTTGCTGCTCGCCATTGCCATCCTCACATAGGTGTCCTTGATCTTGTCAAGGACCGGCTTCACATCATCTCCTGGTCGCGTGGAGAGGGCAACCAACTCCTTCTCCAACATAATAACTATGTGCAGCGTGTTGGGCTGAATTATGTCACGCAGAAGCTTCCACGCTTTTGGTCCGGAGTCATCCAACTCCACCAAGTCCTTGATGTGCTGGAACATGTTGTTGACCAATTGTAAAGTGAGGTCAAAAAGCACCGCGCTCCACTCAATCCACCGATTCCGAGTATCTCCTTTATCGAGCATCTTCTGTTCCCCCATCGAAAGTTTCAGCAGCTTGTAGCGCTTGAAGGCGCTCTTCATGCACTCGCCACATTCCTCATAATTGGAGCCATCCAATGCCTCAATCTTGGATGGTGGCGGTTCGAGCGGCTTTTCAGCTCCCACTCCTTTTTCCAACAGCATCTCCCACTCTCTCATTCATCTTCTCCTGCGAATGATAAGTTTCAGCTCTCCCCTTGCTGTCCACAATGAAGATCCACAAATATCTCACAAGTGTCTGCGCCAACAAGAATTTGGCAGAGTATCCCGTTAGCAGAACTCACATTCAACCTTCAAAACTCCACCTAGGCACACCCACAAGCCATGGTGGGTCTAGAAGAGTCTTGAAACTTCATTAGACTCTTTACAAAGTTCGTAATCAGCTCTGATACCACTTGTTAGGATCAAGGATGGAGTCTAGGAAGAATACAGGCTGAAATAACTCAAAATCGTTGGACTATAATTCTTGACAGAAATGTCGACTTCACAACAAACGACGTCGACATAAAATTCAACGTTCAAACTTCACCAATTGTAGATGTTGTGTTACGGTTCCCAGTTTAGATCGCATGAAAATGTTAAGTATATCTCATGTTATGGATTTCGGCGCACAGGGGGGTATGCTGGAGCTTAAAACTTAACTCCATCACAATATACTCCCAAGAACCACATAAAAGAAATGAAGTGGCTAGAAACCAGGTAGGAGGGGATGAATCTTTACTAGAGTCTTTACAAAGTCCATAATCAGCTCTGATACCACTTGTTAGGACCAAGGATGGAGTCTAGGAAGAATAGAGGCTGAAATAACTCAAAATCGTTGGACTACAATTCTGGACAGAAATGTCGACTTCACAACAAACGCCGTCGACATAAAATTCAGCGTTCAAACTTCACCAATTGTACATGTGTTACAGTTCCCAATTTAGATCGCACAAAAAGGTGAAGTATATTCCAAGTTATGGATTTCGGCGCAGTGGGAGTATGCTGTAGCTTGAACTTAACTCCATCACAATATTATCCCAAGAACCACACAAGAGAAATGAAGTGGCTAGAAACCAGATAGGAGGGGATGAAGAGGACAAGAGGGAAGATCCCCATGGAGTCCCCAACCAAGCAAACCCCAGAAGCACACACTTGCCCTCCCTATAAGAACCCCACTTTCACTTTTGTCACTTTTCCAACCCATGCCATCCACCTCACCCAACTTGGCCAAACTTGCCAACCTGGTTTGCCTTCTCCCAACCATTTGGCAGCAACTACAGGGAACGTGACGATCTTCCCAACCCCCAGTAGTCTATACCTATCGAGTCACCCTACCAACTCCCATAGTCGCGACATTGCAATCGAAAGTTCGAACGATCATAACTTTCTCGTTGTTGATCCGATTGCAACAATACTCGGCTGATGAACAGATATGTCATTTCATATATCCGCTCAAGAAAAATAACATTCACACACACTCAGAACGTCCAAACAACGCCAAACATAGATTCTTGCACACATACACACAACGCATGCAACGCTCGAACATGGGATGGGAGGCAGACAGACATGAATGCATATGATAGCATCACATAACAAAGGGAGCAGCATTGAAGACACTGCTCAAGGACGTGAAGACGACAACTATGCTAACGATGTCGAGGACGGACGAGCCGCTCACTGTGTAAACGGACTTGAGCAGCTTGGGGATGGGGGTCATCATGTATCAAGATAGAGAAGGAGAGGAGAAGGTCGCCTTTGCGAGTAGGAGTTGCAATCGTTCAGAAGCCAGATACAGGTCATACGAGGGGGAAGGGCTCGCGGCAGTTTGGGCAGTGACACACTTCAGGGTACATCAGCAGGGCAGGCCGTTCACCCAAATTACTGATCATCAGCCCCTCATTTGGGTTTTGACCAGACAGGTCCTCACCAGAAGGAACGCAAGGTGGGCCATGCGGCTACAAGAGTACGAGTTCCAGGTTCGGCACCATCCAGGCAAAGCCATGCAGCACGTAGATGGTTTGTCTAGGAACCCTCCCCAGTGCAATACCCGCGGATTTGAGGTGTGCGGAGGGCAGATGATGATACAGCAAGCCAAGGTAGCGGTCCTGGCCAAGCTGACAGTTCCTGAAAACCGCACGACGCTGAGGGCCGTCCTGGGATTTTTTAGCCAGTACAAAAATTTCGTGCCAAACTTCAGTAAATGAGCTACCTGCCTCAACCGGTTGCTGAGGGAAGACCTCACGTGGAAGTGGGGTGAGAAAGAGCAGGGGGCACTACAGGAGCTGCTGGACCTGGTGAAGACCAGGCCAGTGCTGCAGCTGCCGAAGCTTGAGGGTAGATTCACACTCTACACCGACTGGAGCAGTGCGGGCATGGGTGTAGTTTTCGACCAACAGACAGACGGAGGGGAAAGGATGGTGGGATTCGCCAGCCGCAGCTGTAATGCAGCAGAAGCAAACTATAGCTCATACAAGGTGGAAGGCACGGCAGCAGTATGGGTCTTCACACACTTTCGGGTGTACCTGCAGGGACGGGAGTTTACTCTGGTTACAAATCACCAGCATCTCCTCTTACTGCACGGATTCGACTTCATCGTCAAGCACCGCCTAGGCCGCACCCTGCAACATGTGGACTGGCTCTCTCGAAACCCCCCACCCGCAGAGCCAGTCGCAAGCTTGGCCGCACTCGCTCGAGAAGTGGAACGGCAAGGAGGCTGGCAACAGGAGGCTCGGGGAACAGCTGATGTGTAGGCGGACCCAGAGAGGTTGAGGTGGCCCCGGGGACAGACGGAGACAGAGGAGCTGGTTTCAGAAAGGGCGCGAGCACGAGGGCAACACTACCACTCATACGCATGCAAATCTGGACTAGGGAATGATGGAAATTGGTCCCAGCACCAGCAAAACGGGAGAGCATTATCAGAAGGGTGCACCAACTGCTGGCGCACTATGGGCATGTCAGAACCACACA